GGCTCACTGCAACCTCCGCCTCCCAGGTTCAAGCAATTCTCTTGCCTCAGCCTCCTGAGAAGCTGGGACTATAGCCGCCTGCCACCAAACGTCGCTAATTTTTGTTTTTTTTAGTAGAGATGGGGTTTCGCCATGTTGGCCAGGTAGTCTCGAACTCCTGACCTCCGGTGATCCACCTGCCTTGGCCTCCCAGAGTGCCGGGATTACAGGCATGAGCCACCGCGCCTGGCTACAAGAAGAATTTCTCTATGACCACATACCTAGAAGAACTGTTGGATCTAAAAATTGCCCATTCTACAATTCTGATTAGTACCACACTAAATTACCCTTCAGATATATTGTATCAAACTGTACTCTCACAGTGTATGAGTGGTGCTATGGTTTGTTCGAATGATGCTGCCCCCTCCAAAATTCATGTTGAAACTTAAACCCCGATGCAACAGTCTTAAGAGGTGTGGCCTTTGGGAGGTGATTAAATCATTAGGGATCTACCCTCATGAATGGGATTAGCAACCTCATAAAAAGGCTGCAGGTTGAAGGAAGTGTTCTCTTGCCCTGCCATCCCTTCTACCTTGTAAGGACACAACATTCTACCCCACTGGAGGATGCGGCAAGTAGGTGCCATCTTGGAAGCAGAGGGCAGCCCTTGCCAGACACCAATCCTCCTGGTGCCTCAATCTTGAACTTGCCAGCCTCCAGAACAAGAAGAAGTAAATTTTGGTGGTACTTTGTTATAGTAGCATAAACAAACTATGGCAACTGGTATTACACATCTTCAAAATCTGGCATATTGATTGAGGTAGGAGGATTGCTTGAGCCCAAGACTTTGAGATCAGCCTGGGTAACATGTGAGACCCCATTAAAAATTTTTTTTCTTAGTGGCATATTAAAATTTAAAATACTTTAATCAATTTGATATTTTTAAAATTATTTTTAGATTTTACTTGTGGCCAGGCGCGGTGGCTCAAGCCTGTAATCCCAGCACTTTGGGAGGCCGAGGCGGGTGGATCACGAGGTCAAGAGATCGAGACCATCCTGGTCAACATGGTGAAACCCCGTCTCTACTAAAAATACAAAAAATTAGCTGGGCATGGTGGCGCGTGCCTGTAATCCCAGCTACTCAGGAGGCTGAGGCAGGAGAATTGCCTGAACCCAGGAGGCGGAGGTTGCGGTGAGCCGAGATCGCGCCATTGCACTCCAGCCTGGGTAACATGAGTGAAACTCCGCCTCAAAAAAAAAAAAAAAAAAAAAGATTTTACTTGTTACTTCCAACCTTATGAGCTTATGAGTTTGTAGGCTTTAGCAAAGAATAGCAATGAGAAAGGTTAAATAAATTCTGAGGTACAGTGAAATACTATTTAGCTCTTAAATGGAATGATTTTTATATGTAGTCAAGGTTTATAGTATCATCTCTGAACAGTAAACATACTTATCCTTCTCTTTTCCTCCACCGAATATGGGATGTAGTAAAACTCCACCAGTTTTCAGTTCATATGCCACTATTTTGTCTAGCTCCTAAAAAATATATAAAAATAGAAGTCAGTAAAATTTGTAAAGTAAAATTATTTTACATATCAAATTTTAGAAATTAAACTGTGAATTTGCATTTCCTAACATCAGAATGTAAATTTCTTAAAATAGGTGAAATGCAGTTAAAGAGCAGTTTATGTTCTTATAAATAAAGCAGCCTACACAGCTGGTAGAATGACAAAAGTCAAAGACTTGTCTACTTTGTGACTTCAGGGCTGGGCAGCAGCCTGGCAACTTTTTCTTATGGCTGTTCTCCATCTCTCTGAGCTGTCTCCCAAGTTTATTTTTCCCTTTTCTGTATTTTGCTTCAGGGAATTTAGGCGAGTAAAAAGGAATGAGAATAAATTATGTCAGGAATCCATCATTTTAAAACTCCAGTCTTCTCTAACATGATATAAATCGAAGTCTTAAAAAAAGGGTTTTGTTTTGTTCTGTTTTTTAACAGAAAAAAAAGGAGGGTAATTCTTTTGTTTTGAGACAGGGTTTCACTCTGTCACCCAGACTGGAGTGCAGTGGCTGATTATGGCTCACTGCAGCCTTTGACCTCCTGGGCTTAGGTGATCCTCCCACCTCAGCCTCCCAAGAAGCTGGAACTACAGGCACATGCCATCATGCCTGGTTAATTTAAAAAAAAAAAAAAAAAAGCATAGGTGAAAAAAAGACACCAATACAATTATGCTGGAAACTCATGACTAGTTTAACTAATACAGGTGTAGTATAGAAAAGTGGCAAACAGCATAGTGAAGCAATTAAAAGCCAAGTTGGAATCCTGGGTCTACTACTTACTAGCTGTGCACTTTGATGAAATAATTTAACCTTTCTTTCTGTGCCTCAGTTTCTTCATCTATAAAATGGAAATGATAGCAAAGTAGTTAGGAGAATTAAGATCATCAATATGTCTTTTTTTTTTTCCAAGGTGGAGTCTTGCTCTGTCACCCAGGCTGGAGTGCACTGGCATGATCTTGGCTCACTGCAACCTCCGCCTCCCAGGTTCAAGCCATTCTCATGCCTCAGCCTCCCAAGTAGCCAGGATTACAGGCATGTGCCACCATGGCCAGCTAATTTTGGTATTCTTAGTAGAGACTGGGTTTCACCACGTGGAGCAGGCTTGTCTCGAACCCTTGACTTCATGATCCCAACAATAATCCAAAGTGTTGGGATTACAGGTGCGAACCACTGGCCCGAGATCATTAATATTTATAAAATGTTTGTAACAGTGCCTGAAACATTTTAAGTGTTGTGTTATTTTGTTCTTCTTAATAGTTTCTGAAATGATGAACAGACTCCTCCAGTTCTAGATGTAGAAATACGAATATGTTTGTAGTTAAAATCTTCAAAAATTAACTTTTTGGCTTATTTGAGTTTATTGTTGGGTGATGATACTATGTAAAATGAGAATAAGGGGAAGATAATAAAGTTTGTTTAATGAAGATATTAAAGGCTGCAATTTTTCCACCTGAGAATGAAGACTAAGCATGATATGATTAAAATGGTTATATATATGACCAGAATGTGCTCAGTAAAATACAACAATGGTGTTTTTTTTGGCCAAATCTATAAATTGTAAAAAAACAAACAAACAAACAAAAAGACATGACAATGACAACATAAATGCATTCAAGGCCTAACCAGAATATAATAAGCAGTTAATATGTGCAAAGCATCATGCACATTACATGTATAATGTCTAACCATCACTGCTCATGGGCAGACACTACTACTGCACTCCTTATACAGATGAGACATGGAAAGATTAAGGTCACAAAGCTAAACAAATTTAGGAAGCACAGTTATAAATGAATACTATAAGGAGCTGGGACATACCTAATGACCAATCTCATGTTTAAGGAACTTAAATATTCTCTTTCTTAGGGGGAAAAAAGTCTTTAGGGGCCAATGCTGACAATGGAGATTAGATTAAATAGACCATTAGTCTTTCTCAGTATATTGATTCCCACTTTGCTGGGAAAAATTAGGGATTTTCAAGTAGTATTTTAAAAGTATTTTACAATCATTAAAAACGGAGGGGCTGGGCATGGTGGCTCATGGCTGTAATTCCAGCACTTTGGGAGGCTGAGGTGGGTGGATCACCTGAGGTCAGGAGTTTGAGACCAGCCTGGCCAACATGGTGAAGCCCTGTCTCTACTAAATAATAAAAAAAAATAGCTGGGCATGGTGGCACAGGCCTGTAGTCCCAGCTACTCTGGAGGCTGAGGCAGGAGAACCCTGGAACCCAGGAGGGGGAGGCTGCAGTGAGCCGAGATCATGCCACTGTACTCCAGCCTGGGCAATAAAGCGAGACTCCATCTCAAAAAAAAAAACCATTAAACAAAAAAATGGAGGACATGAGACTTGGAAATCAGGAGAACACTAAAGTCTTACTGATGTGTAAGTGGGTAAGGGATCTGTTATTACCTCTTTAATCCAATGGCGGTACTCATTAACACCAAAAGTTTTTTTCATCCAAAGTCCATAGATGTAGCCTGAAATTCCCTTCAGCACCCATTCATCAGACCTAAGCAAAAAGTGAAAGTATAAGTTACTTTTAATCATAAAAACGCCTCAGATAATGTCAAAGAGGATGCCAGAATAAGTGTAGTGTGTATTTCTCTGCCCTCACACAGAAAATGAAAATTATTAACAAATCACTAGGTTTCCCAACTTCCTCTGGCTGAGTTCTACTTGCTCATTCATTATACCATATTCATACCTGCCTTTACCTTTAAGCATGAGACTGCTTTACAGTCTTGTGTCAGGTATAAATTACCAGAGTACATGCTCTACTCTGACAGTGCTGCTTCCCTCCTGCCCAACTCTGTTCTTAATGTCTCTGTCTCTAAGGAAATACGTGCTCATAGCCAGGACTATACTGTTCAATTCTAAAAGTCCACATGCTATTATTGCCTATCCCATGCATTATGCCAATACCAATGATGTTCTAAAACCTAAAGTTTAATTGCTTCATTCATTTCTTTTTGGTTTCTCTAGGAAAAAAAAATCACAATTAACATCACTCATTCATTTATTCATTTGTATATTCAATCTATCCATCTACCCATCCATCCACCCACCCATCCATTCACCCATCCATCCATCCATAATATTTTGCCTACTATGTTCCAAGCACTATTTTTTAATCAAACTTCTATGAGTAGCTTTAGGAAAATTACAAATAAGAGATCTATCTTTAGCCTCTGCCCTCTCCCCTCCAGCAAACAAAAAAAGAAAACCAAGATTTACATACTGTATATAGTGTAGAATGTTCACAACTATAATTTATAATCTTAATTTTTGTGTTTTTTCCAAAATTATCTTGTGTTAATAAAACAGAAAAGAAAAAACATTTATACCTTTCATTTCTTTCAACAAACTGGTACAAAGCTGAGCACTAGTAGGCAAATCCCTAAATAATTATTACTACTGCAGAGGAGCACTATTTTGCTCCTCTTAATAACTATTAAGGTATTTCCAATTGCTTTGAACGTTAACATTAAAATTCTAACTGCGGTTTTCTGTACATTTAAATTCTTTTATTTACAGTATTCATTCAGTTCTTGATGGGGTTTCACCATGATGGCCAGGCTGGTCTTGAACTCCTGACCTCAGGTGATCCACCCACCTCGGCCTCCCAAAGTGCTAGGATTACAGGTGTGAGCCACAGCGCCTGGCCTCATTCAGTTCTTTAAGAGATTGTTTTACCAAAATCTTACCTTATAAACTGAAGAAGTGATTATATTAATTTCATGGACAACAAGTTAGCATGAATCTTAAAATAATCATTTTTCTTTAAATACATATAAAATAGTGTCTTTTAAATTAGCTATCTGCAATTAGGGCAAAGGTCAGCTTAAATGCACGAAAAGAGAAGAAAATAGAGTTGATTCTTTTCTCAGTAGTATGAAATTTCAGGTTACTCACCAAGACATTCTTGATATGAAACATCCAAAAAACTGCTGGGCCAAGGACTGGGCTAAACACCTTCTAGTCAAAGGTGTCTCATCTATAATCATGGCGCTGTGTAAAAGATTTGTGCTGGAATTTAAAAAAGAAAGCACATTATAACCAAGAAATAAATACTTACTCAGTGAAAATAAAATAAGTCCACTTTTAAAATAATAGAAGTTAGATACAAAATAGAAAAAAAAAAATTCTCCCAAAGGGCTTTCTAATCTTTTCAAAATTTAGCTAAAATTCATCATGAGTAACTTTTGCTTAAAGCAAGGAGCATGTTTTCCACTGATGATATCAGTAAATTTCTGACAATTTCTGACAATATCAGTAAATTTTTAAATAGTGTAAGAAAAAAAATTCATACTAATCAAACAATGATTTGTATAATTTTTTAACAATTTATGAAAACAAGACTAAAACAGGGAAAATACTAATTTTAGTTAATTCTGGATGATAATGACGCTTTTGAGTTATCTTAAAATTTTTGTCTTCATGTTTTTCTACATTTGAAAATTTTAAAAACCAACCAAATTTTCTATAAAGCCAACCAAATCTAAATTGGAGAAAAGTTCAAAACTTCTCTTAAAATTGACCACAAAATCAGTAACTTTCCTTCATATCATTACCTTAATTTAGGCATTTCAAATCGGAAGAGATACCAACCTAAAAATGCTCATGGAAGCATAAGCAGCCACTTCAACATAAGCCTCATCGATGAATACAGTCTTAAAACAGGAATATGGGTATCGACATGTAAGAATTTCTTCATAAAATTCAAAGACTTCATGAAGGTATGATGTGGTATGTTTAAGCAATGGAAGAAGCTGGGGTAAACAAAAATGAGTAACCTGAAAAGAAGAAGCAAGGAGGATCGTCTAAATCAAAGAGTTGACTTTAATATTGTAAATTTCCTAAATATCTCAATTATAAATAAATGTTCTCAAAAATTTATTCTTTAATAATTTCAAGATGCTGAAAGAAAATGTTGTGAAATTAGTGATTACTTTTACTGATCACATTCATAAAATATTCATTGTACTTAAAAATTAAATTCATGGTGGATTATAAGTCTGTGGAAAGCTTAGATCTACTAAAATATAACTCTGGTTCCAAATTCAATTAAAATTTATTCTCAAATGTACACATAACAATAAAGATTTAAATTTCAAAGGCTTATTATAAACCTACCTCTTATTCATAAATATCGAACCTAGTGAATAATGCATGTTAATACTATCTTACTGTAATGTTAATCATATTATCTGCATATAAAAAATAATTACTGTAGTCCCCCTCTGATATTTCAATTACTTATCAAAAACTGCAGAAAAGCTTAATGGTAGTTAGGAGATTAAAAAAAAAAAAAAATGCCCACAATAGAAATAGTAACTCTGGTTTTTTTTATTAGGCTACATCTCACTTTGGTCACACAAATATCATATGCTATCTCTTATTATGATCTGTGTCAAGTGAAAACCATCAACAATGACACAGATCACTGACTAGAACAACCTTGTAAGGTTTCATGCAGGAGTGTGAAGGTATGGTAATCTTTTTGAGTTCAACAGAAGTTTGATAGGAAACTTTTAGTATAGGAAAACAGAACATCCCAGAGTCAAAGATGGGAAGAAAACAGGTATGATCGAAGAAATACAAGTAAACTATTTTGAATGTAACATATATTAGGGTCAAATTATAGAAGATCTTGAAAGCCATGCTTAAGATTTCTAATTACTGCAGAATTACAAAAACAAGGGAAGTTTTTAGTGTATCATCAAAATTATTCTTCTAATAACATTTAAAAAGAACAGATTAGAGGCTACCATAAGAGTGGTGACAAGCATCTATGCATTATTAATGATCAGAGCCCAAAACTGTATCATGATTAACATTCCCTTTGTACGTAAATTAAAAATACTATTCATCAAAAAAAGGATTCATTTTTAGACAAACCTACATGACAGCAAATTTACTGCTAATGCAGGTAACAACTCATGTATTTGACACAGAGAAAGACTAAAGTCAGGAGAAATAATTCTTGACTGTCATGTGCCTTGTTCCTATTCAATAGCTCAGAGTAGAAAGAAAAATCTTCTCAAATACAAAATAGGTACTGATCAAACATTGATTTTAAAATTGATCATTTACCAAAGACAATAAAGTTTACTGCCAATTTTATCAGTGCACAAACCTTTAAAAAGAGTCATTGTCAAGACAACATAAGCAAAACCATCACAAAATATCCTGAATCTTTTCCATGAGTGATTTTACAAATCCTGTGAATTTCAGCCAAGCAAATATAAATGGCAAACTGAGGAGCTCACCAAAAGCCTGCTGCCCTCAATTATTCTTCACATGACTAGAAGAAATGCTGTTGAGATATACGAGTCAAATTATATGTATGTATTTTTTAAAAAAACTTCAGTTGAAGACTAAGGAAGTGAGGTTAACAACTAAGAAACCATTTTCTACTCAGCATAAGTCTCATGCTTGGGAAGGCCTAAAATTACTATTTGGCCTGTCAACTGATAAATGAATTGTAATAAGATATGTGCCGGGAAGAAACCAGTCTTCATGAGTTTGCTAACCAGATTTCTAACTCTGTATATTTTCCTCTGTATATGTTGAAGTAAGAATAAATCTTGCTCTTTAATTTCGAATTTACAATATTTTAGATTCCAGAGATGAAACCATAACATTCAAAAACATGCTAAACAAAGAGATGACATTAGTAATGAACAGAATTAATTACAGAAATCAACCTATACTCTAAATCAAGATACACTGAAGCGTTTTTGAAATGCTAAGCCCCCTGTTGGAAAATAATCTAAAATTTAAACACAACATTTTGAAAGAAATTCATTCAGTAATTCACATCATTAAATCTATCAGATAAGGAAACATCTTCTCTCTAGTCATATTCTTGACAGTTAAAAAGCTATCTTTTTAGTATTGAGACATAAAATTGTGTAAGACATTATCTCTGGTTAGAGGAGTTATTAAGAGTGAAGACTTAGTATTTCATTAACATCTATCTTTTTAAAAGCAGTAAAAGGGCAGGAGGAAAGAAAGAGGGGAGAGCTCTGACTTACCTCATGCATGTATGGATCTACAAGTATTTCAAATGGTCCAATGGCCAAGGAGATATTTGATGCTGCTGTAGGAATGGTAAGCATATAATGGAAAGTTTTCTTCCTCATATCATGGGTATACACTGTCTCCACCAAATCTCCATTAGAAACAGCAACCATTGCAGCATCTACCGTAAATTCTAATTTCCATGTACACAATTCAGAGTATGAATCAACACAAGGGAACCAAAATCTAGAAAAAACATTGACAGAATAGAAAATGCAATGAGAATGTCCTCTACATTGTTTACCCCACATGCAAGTTATTTCAGCATTTCTAGAAAATGAACAACAAAAAAAAACTTCAGCTTTTTGGCTACTGAAGCTTTTTTACTATACAACCTGAAAAAAATCTGATAAAATAAAATCTGTTTCCAAACACTATTTGGCAACATTAAAAATATATATTATACAGTACCACCAGTTCAAACCCTAAAAAAAGTTAAGCAATTCTTAGTTTCCAATGTTTTAAAAAATAATTTTAACTTGTATATGCACATTAGTCACATTAGTCAGTTTTTATGCCGCATTTATTTTCAGAAACTAAAAAAGACTTACCATAAAAAGTTTTATAAAAATAATATGCAGAATTTATTCCATTAAATTATAAAACTGCTTTTTTGGAGTATGTAACACATTGTATAAATTCAAATGAGTGCTGGTAAAAGATATAAAATTTATAGTCAGTTTTCATCAATTCAGGTGTTATGTGACAGGGTAAGTACTCAGTATTGGGGCATAAAAGTGTATAAGACATTACCTCTGGTTTGGAGGAGTTATTATAATAATCTGAGGAGAGGTCGGGTGCAGTGGCTCACATTGTAATCCCAGCACTTTAGGGGGCCAAGGCAAGTGGATCACCTGAGGTCAGGAGTTTGAAACCAGCCTGGGCAACGTGATCAAACCCTGTCTCTACTAAAAATAGAAAAATTAACCAGGCATGGTGGCGTGTGCCTGCAATCCCAGCTACTCGGGAGGCTGACGCAGGAGGATCACTTGAACCTGCAAGGTGGAAGTTGTAGTGAGCCAAGATTGTGCCACTGCACTCCAGCCTGGGCGACAGGCTGTCTCTACTTAAGACATGGTGAAACCCCATCTCGACTAAAAATATGTAATTAGCCAAGTGCAGTGGCACACACCTATAGACCCAACTACTCAGGAGGCTAGGCAGGAGAATCACTTAAATCCAGGAGGTGGGAGTTGCAGTGAGCCAAGACTGTACCACTGCACTCCAGCCTGGCCAACAGAGTGAGACTGTTTTAAAAAAAAAATTAGCTGAGTTCAGTTGCAGAATGTGGACTGGGGAAGTAGAGAATGAAAGCAGGTGAAAGGAGGTCTCTGTGATGCTTGCAATATTCTTTGTCTCTAAGTGTGAATTACGTGGGCTTGTTCACTTACGAAAATTCATCGAGCTTTACACTTTGTACAATTTTCTCTATGTATATTTTACTACAATATAAAGTTTTTCAAAAAGGAAAATCAAGTGAGATGATTATTTTATAACAGTAGATATGAAAATGAGAGAGACGAAGGGAGATGTAAGACTGAGAGGGGTGGCCAGGCTTGGTGGCTCATGCCTGTAATACCAGCACTTTGGGAGGCCGAGGTGGGCGGATCACTTGAGGTCAGGAGACAAAGACCAGTCTGGCCAACATGTGAAACCCTGTCTCCACTAAAAATACAAAAAATTAGGCAGATATAGTGGTGAATGCCTATAATCCCAGCTACTTGGGAGGCTGAGGCATGAGAATCACTTGAACACAGGAGGCAGACATTGCAGCAAGCAGAGGCAGCACCACTGCACTCCAACAAAGGTGACAGCGCAACCCTGTCTTAAAAGAATTAATTAATTGGCCAAGCACAGTGGCTCACATCTGTAATCTCAGCACTTTGGGAAGCCAAGGCAGAAGGGTCATGTGAACTCAACAGTGGGAGGTTGCAGTGAGCCAAGATCACACCACTGCACTCTAGCCTGGGCAAAAGAGCAAAAAAAAAAAAAAAAAAAAAAAAAAAGAAAGGGAAAAGAAATTAAGAAATGACAACAGAAAGTAATCTGAAAGAAGTCTAAATTTGGGAGGAAATAAAACCCAGTATTTCTTGTTTTACACTAAATTATGTATTGCTTATATATAAAAAATGCAATTTAAAAATTAATTGAAATATTTAAGAATCTGTAATCTACCTTGTAGAATTTTGATACCCACAAGAGAAAACATGAGCACCTCTCTCTGCCATACTTCCCTCTACACTGGGTACCACAAAATGAAGACCTCCTTTGGGTTGATCCAAAGAAAAATTGATGTGTATCTTCAGGACCTTTAACTCTGCAACAAATAAATATACACATACATTGATATATAAGTAAGTTACAGTGGTCTATATAATAAAGGCAGAGATTTAATGCTGAAAAAGAAATGGAATTGAGGACTGAGATTTATATGAAAAACCACACTACTGGCCCACATTTGGACTTATACCATCTGTCTGCCTATATTAACTCAACAGACTGCTTCTGTGGGTATTTCTACTTCCAATCAATTATAATTATTGCTTGTATTTTTTTTCCAAAATACACCTTTGGTTATGCCATATCCTCCTTTCAACATTTCTGACAGTATACAATGCCCAAAGAAAAAATTCCAAAACGCCCACACTGCACACTTTAGGCCTTCCAAATCCAACCCCAAACTTACTGATATAGTTTGGCTCTGTGCCTCCACCCAAATCTCATCTTATAATTCCCATAATGCCCATGCGGTACAGAAAGGACCCGGTAGGAGGTAACTGAATCATGGGGGCACGTCTTTTCCATGCTGTTCTCATGATAGTGAATAAGTGTCACAAGATTGAATGGTTTTAAAAACGGAAGTTTCCCTGCACAAGCCCTCTCTCTCTTTTTGCTGGCCACTATCCACGTAAGACGTGACTTGCTCCTCCCTGCCTTCTCCCAAGACTGTGAGGCCTCCCCAGCCATGTGGGACTGTAATTTCATCAAACCTCTTTTTCTTCCCAATCTCACGTATGTCTTTATCAGCAGTGTGAAAATGAACTAATACACTTAACTTTTCAAGTTTTTTCTCCTATTACATTCTCCCACAAAATGAATCCTAGGTGACTTTGGGGAGTACAAGGATGAGAGGTAGAGGAAGAAACACTACTTGAGAATTTGCCTTATTATTATGGTTTTTATTATGCTTGATTTCTTCATTATAACATGTGTTGCTTTCGTAAGATTTTAATTTCCCTCCAAGCATTACAATCATATGGATCATCTCCAAACTCTAAACATGCAATGATGACTTCCACGTCTGTCCCCCAAATCAAGGTAAGTTCCTCCACAAATCCTATCCCACCCCTAAACCCCCCAATAGAAAGCAAAAAAAAACAAAACAAGAAGTCTTATCTTAATTTTTATAAGGTTAAATAAATAGGCAAGGCAGAAGCTAATACACAATAGTATCATGGCTAAAACTTTACACCAGACAAAAAGGTTTAAAAAGTCTGCAGAATGAGTATCAGAAACCCTATTTTTTAGTTTTATCTCCACCAATAATTTGCTAAGTGAACTTCAGCAGGTTACTTACTCATTAGACTTCAGATTACTCTTCTGTAAAAAGAAGCAATTGAACCAGATTGTTCAGGATCTTTCCTGCTACAAAATGCTGTAATTCTAAACTAATTTGATATTATGCAGGTTCTCAAATCTTGACAAATTTTTCTATCTATATGACTTTTAAAAAATATTTTTCATGGCCAGGCATGGTGGCTCATACCTGTAATCCCAGAACTTTGGGAGGCCAAGGCGGGCAGATCATCTGAGGTCAGGAGTTTGAGACCAGCCTGACCAATATGGCGAGACCCCATCTTTACTAAAAATACAAAAATTAGCTGGGTGTGGTGGTAGGCGCCTGTAACCCCAGCTACTCGGGAGGCTGAGACAGGAAAATCACTCGAACCTGGGAGGCGGAGGTTGTAGTAAGCTGAGATTGTGCCATTGTTCTCCAGCCTGGGTGACAAAAGTGAAACTCCGGCTCAAAGAAAAAAAAAAAACAACAAAAAAAACCCACACAATTTGTTTTTTCCTTTAAAAAACAATGGTGAAATAAATTGCTTTTTTCATAGCCCTGAACTGATATTATCCCGTTAGCCAGTGATCCTTAATAAGAAAAAGAGCTTCCAACCCATTCTGTATATTTCAACTGGTTAATTTACATTAGGTTGGTTTTTTTGTTTTTTTTTTCTGTTTTTTTGAGAGTCTCTCACTCTGTTGCCCAGGCTGGAGTGCAGGGGTACACTATCGGCTCGCTGCAACCTCCACCTCCCGGGTTCAAGCAATTCTCCTCTCTCAGGCTCCTGAGTAGCTGAGATTACAGGTGCCTGCCACCATACCTGGCTAATTTTTGTATTTTTAGTAGAGATGGGGTTTCGCCATGTTGGCCAGGCTAGTCTTTAACTCCTGATCTCAGGTGATCTGCCTGCCACAGCCTCCCAAAGTGGTTGGATTACAGGCGTGAGCCACCGCGCCTGCCCAGCATCATTAGTTTTCATGTAAAATTCTCTAGTCCCTGAATCTAACATGATTTTAGTGTGCAGTCAATAATGTTCTTGGTGCTTTACCATCGACGTGTTTCCATAGCTCTGATGGAACCTTAATGCAAAGTTCTCCATTTCCGGCGTCAGGGTCCACAGCACTAACTGCAGCTGCATAAGCATTGGAAAAATAATTGAGGTTTCTCCTGGGGGAAAATAAAAGAGCCAACTTTTAATAATAAGCCATATATATTATCAAACATTTTCTTTTTTTTTTTGAGATGGAGTCACACTCTGTCACCCAGGCCAGAGTGAAGCGGCACCATCTTGACTCACTGCAACTGCCACCTCCCGTGTTCAAGCATTCTTGTGCCTCAGCTTCCCGAGTAACTGGGATTACAGGCACCCACCACCACACCTGGCTAATTTTTATATTTTTAGTAGAGATGGTGTTTTGCCATGTTGGTCAGGCTGGTTTCAAGCTCCTAACCTCAGTAATCCACCTGCCTTGGCCTGCCAAAGTGTTAGCATTACAGGTGTGAGCCATCACACCTGGCCTCTGAGCATTTTCTTAAATATAATTTGATACCAACTGTTGGTAAGCATTTTATCTTCTTACATAATTCCTAAGAACACTCTTTAGCCAAGTAATGGTTTTTTCTACTCACCATGTTAAAAACTATTAAACTGTGAATAAAATGGAATATACATTCTACTCACCAAGTTATATGATTATTATTATGACTATTACATTCTTCATTAATTTTGAAATGCCAAAGCCACTATACTTTTTTTGATACAAATGTAAAGAATATGTGAAGAATTGATTATTCTTTATCAATCTGGCAAAAATTAGAATGGACTCAACAAGCTTTGTAATTTGACAAAGATTAAGATGTCTAAAACAAATTAGGATGGAACTCAATTCCTCAAAATGTAACACCACTCACCTCTACCCACTAGTGCATCACTATGTAGGCTTAATGAAGCAGAGAATTTTCAGAAGGCTCACTACTATATTCACTATGTCAGGAGAGACTACTAAATATTTGTTGCATAGTTATCTGACCTTATTTCCTATTTGATGAAAACAATACAATGAAGTCTTATGGAAATATGAAAATGTTATTCTCAATTGGTCTAACTGTATTCCATAAAAGCAACTTATATGTGTATATATACACATATTACATTTCCTCACTGAAATTAGTTTTAAAAAAGTAAGAAACAAAAGACAGGAAAAAGATATGGAATGGAAAGGGCAAGAATACAAGACGAAATACATAAACACCATGAGCCACAACCTCGCTGTACATCGTTATACCTGTAATCCTGCCATTAGGTGTAGTCACAAGGTAAAGTTAGTGATGTTCGCATAGCTTAATACATTTTTCATCTAGTTAAAAAACAAGTTTTAGCCGGGCGCAGGGGTGCACACCTGTAATCCCAGCACTTTGGGAAGCCAGGGTGGGTGGATCACTTGAGGCCAGGAGTTAAGAGTCCAGCCTGGCCAACATGATGAATCCCTGTCTCTATTAAAAATACAAAAATTAGCCAGGCGTAGTGGTGCATGCCTGTAATTCCAGCTACTTGAGGGGCTAAAGTACGAGAATACCTTGAGCCCAGGAGGCAGAGGTTGCAGTGAGCTGAGATTCCACCACTGCACTCCAACCTGAGCAACAGACTGAGACTCCATCTCAAAAAAATAAAAAAAAGAAAAAGAAAAGTTTCATATACTCTACTGAACAACTAAAGGAAAAATAAAATGGCAAAAGCCATTAAAGAAACATTAAGGCTATAGGCTCTTAACCTGACAGAGGCCATTCCTTCTCCATCTACATCCATCTCTCTAACAATTACGAAGGCTATAACAGAACTAAGGCTTTACCAACTATTCAAGGTAACAACTACAAAGCATAGAGTTTTGTAAGTAAAAAGGCTTCTCAATATATTTTAATAATTTCTTTCTGTTAAGTAAACATTGACATCCCAAGAATGTTCATAGCATCTTGACCAGTAGATCCCATCTCAAGAAACCACTTTCTTTGCTCATCCATAAGAAGAAACTCCTCTACCCACTGAAGTTGTATCATGAGATTGCAGCAATTCAGTCTTATCTTTAGGTTCCACTTCTAATTCTAGTTTCATGGCTATTTCTACCACAACTGCAGTTCCTTCCTCCTCTAACTCCCTCAAAGTAATCCATGAGGTTTGGAATCAACTTCTTCCAAATCCTTGTTCATGTTGATGTTTTGACCTCCTCCCTAAATCATGAATGTCCTTAATGGCATCCAGAATGGTGCATCTTTTCAGGGTTTCAACTGACTTTCCCAGATCCCTCAGAGGAATCACTATCTATGGCAGCTATAGCCTTATGAAATGCATTTCTTAAATAGTAAGACTTAAAAGTAGAAATTAGTCTTTAATCTACAGGCTGTGGAATAGATACTATGTTAGCACACATAAAAACAGTATTAATCTCCCAGTACATTTTCATCAGAGCTTTTGGATAACCAGGTGTCTTGTCAATAAGCAGTAATATATTGAAAGCATTCTTCTTCTGCCCAGTAATCTCAACAGTGGTCTTAAAATATGCAATTCAGTAAACCATACTGTGAACAGGGTGTTGTCATCCAGCTTTGTTGCTCCATTTACAGAGAATAGGCAGAACAGATTTAGCATAATTGTTAAGGGTCCTAGGATTTTTTGGAATGGTAAATGAGCACTGGCTTTAACTTAAAGTCCCCAGCTGCATCAGCCCCTAATAAAAGAGTCAGTCTGTCCTTTGAAGCCAGGCACTGACTTCTCTTTAGCTAGGAAAGTTCTGGATAGCATTTTCTTCTAGTAGAAACTGTTTCATCTGCATTGAAATCTGTTGCTCAGTGTAGCAACCTTCATAAATAACCTTAGCTAAATCTTCCGGATAACTTGCTGCAGCTTCTACATCAGCACTTACTGCTTCACCCCGCACTTTCATGTTATGGACAAAGTTTCTTTCCTTAAATCTCATGAGCCACCCTTTCCTAGCTTCAAAAAGTTCTTCTGCAGCTTCCTCACCTCTCAGCCTTCACAGACTGAAGAGTTAGGGCCTTGCTCTGGATTAGGCTTTGCCTTAAGAGATGGTGTGGCTGGTTTAATCTTCTATCCAGATCTTTAAAACCTTCTCCATCCACATCAGCAATAAGACTGCTTCATTTTCTTATCATTTGCGTATTCACTGGGGCAGCACTTTTAATTTCCTTCAAGAACTTTTCCTGTGCAGTCACAACTTAGCTAACTGGCACCCAGAGGCCTAGCTTTTGGCCTTCCTTGCTAAGCTTAGTCATTTCTATAGCTTTTGGGTTTAAGTGAGAGATGTGAGGCTCTTCCTTTCACTTGAACACCTAGAGGCCACTGCAGGATTACTAACTGACCTAATTTCAATATTGCGTGTCTCAGCAAATAGGGAGGCTGGAGGAGGGGGACAGAGACAGGGAACAACTGGTCCACGGAGTAGTCAGAACACACACAACATTTATCATTTAATTTGCCATCTTACATGGATGCCATCTTTGGCATCCCCAAAACAATTACGATGGTAATATCAAAGATCTCTGATCTCAGAGTACCTTAACAGATATAATTACAAAAAAGTTTGAAATATTGCAAGAATTACAAAAATGTGACATAGAGACATGAAACGAGCATATGCTGTTGGGAAAATAGCACTGATAAACTTTCTTTATCACAAACCTTCAATTTGTAAAAATAAATAAATAAATAAATAAAACCCAGAACATGCAAGGCACAACAGAGCAAAGCACAATAACAGGAGGTATGCCTGTGTTTTTCGTTTTTTTTAATTATCATACAGTTAAAAAAAAAAACTTTTTGGGTCTACAGTAGTATAAAGTTTAACACATGGACAGATTCAGTTAACCACCAAAATCAGGACACAGAACAGTCCTATCAACCCCAAAAAGTCCCTTATGCTATTCTTTGTGCCAAATAAATGGCATCAGGTAGAATGCTACCTTTTGAGACTGGTTTGTGTCACAACATTTTTGAAATTCATCCAAGTTGTTATACGTATTAATAATTTGTTCCTTTTGACACTGAGTATTGTATTGTACAGGCTGTACCAGTTTGTTTATCCACTGACCAGCAGAAGGGCCTTTAGGTTATTTTCAGCTTTTGGAAGTGTAAAATAAAAAAGTTATGAACATTTGTGTACAGGTCTTTGTGTGAATATAAGCTTCATCTCTGTAGTACAAATATCCAACAGTGGGACTACTGATGGAAAACACATTTAACTTTTTAAAAATCTACAGAACTGTTTCAGAGGAGTTGTACCGTTCTGCATTGCCACCAGCAATATCTGAAAGTGCCAGCTGCTCTAAACCCTGGTTAGCACTTACTTAACATACCATCTAATTTTAATGACTATTCTATCTACAGAGTATAATTTATTTTCAATAACATTTCAAAAGCATAAAATTTGATGATTGCAAAGCTTGTATTCCCAGCAAGTTATCAGGGGAATTAAAAAATAAAATAACTATTGCACAAAAAGAAAGCCAGATTTAAACAATACCTATTAGTTATTTATTTATTTATTTATTTTAGTTATTAGTTTTTTTATGGGAAATTATTTTCATTTAATCTCATTTCCTGAGAAAAGGTGAAGTGGTCCAAATAAAATGGGTAAGTCATTATAAATGGAATCAACTGGGAAGCCAATTTCAAATAATCTCATGGTTTAGATTTCAATATACAAATCAAATGTTTTCTTTCATAATAACTTCATAGAGGTCAAAAATTAAAGTGTAAAATTATAATGTATTTTCAATTTTCAGAAAAATAATGACTACAAAATATTTAATATGTCATTGTCCTGTAACCTCTACCATCTCCATTGGCTATACATTTTTAAGCTATTGGGTGTGGGTTAGAGTATCCTATGTGACAGTATTAGGTTAACTAACTACCTGGGCGCTAACAAGCAATTTCAAGGCATGAATACATAGCTCAAGGCAGAAAGTAGAATGTGATTGCTGTCTCATTTCTTTTTTTAATTTCAATAGCTTTTCAGGTACAAGTGGTTTTTGGTTACATGGATGAATTCTACAATGGGAAAATCTGAGATTTTAGCATACCTGTTGCCCAAGTAGTGTACTGTACTCAATATGTAGTTTTTAAAATCTCTCCCTCCTCCCCGCTTCGGAGT